TAGCTTTCCTCTTGCCGTCTTCAAAAGTGAGTTGTCTTTTGAAGTTTGTAATTCTCCCTTCCTGTCTCTGAGCATCTCATTTCCCCTTTGTATTTTCCCAGTCTGTGTTTTAAAGGCCCATTGTGTCTTCTAGGGAGACCTATTTCTCATTATTACTTAGACATCTTCTGTTTCCTTTCTCCCATTATCCTTCCTCTGATAGTTAGAAATAGGCTTTTTCAACCTACTCCAGTTCCTTCTCAATTTCGGGGGGTAAATCAGCACCCCACCATCACCATCTGATAGGCATAGGCCTTTAAATTGCTTTCTCAGTTTTTGAGCAGGCAATCATCTCAAAGTCACATATTTCTCAACCTCAGCCTAAAAAGAGGTTATATTCTCTTAATACAAAGAGTCCCCATTTCCCTTTGACTTAAATTTTAATAAAATCCACTTCCCTTCAGTGATTGCAGCCATGGTTTGAAATTCTGAACTCTAATAGGCAGTTTCTTTAATCATCAAACTCTGAGCCTTGAGTGGTTGGAGTGACTGAAGTTTATGGATTTTGCCACTTGAATTCAAGTTTGGTCTTGGCTCCTTTAGTGTTTTCTCACTCTGAAGTCGCTTCAAAGTGGCATATACACATCACAGATACACAATCTGGTGAAGTTTGTATTGTAGGCAGGCATACCTGTGCTTAGAATGAAGACTTTTAATTTATAAATTCATTAGAACTTTTAGCAGATTTTGAAATTTTTTTCCATCTTATTTGAAAATTTAAGATGGGGGGAGACAGGTGCATGTGCTCACATACACATACATATATACACACAAATGGAGAGAGATCTTCCCCCAAATGGTATCAATACCCAGAGCTGGGTCGTGATGAAGCCAGGAGCCCTAAACTGAATATGAATCTCTTATGTGGGAGGCAGGGACCCACATACCTGTGTTATCATCAGCTAAATTGCAGGGTTCACATCTTCAGGAAGCTGGATATAAAGTGAAACAGCATGCACAAATGAGGCAATCTGATATGGGTGTTCAAAGTGGCAATTTAACAACTGTTGTCAAATGCTAATCCTTGTAACACATTTGGAATTCAGTAACTTTAACCTGTGGTCTACTAGGTTGAGATTTAACTGGGAAGTCCACTGAATTGAACATATCAGATCCTGTGATAGCAATTGAAATGTATCAGTTTGTAATATTTGGATTACAATAAGAAGGTTAAAATTGCTGGGGAGTTGGTTTAATAACGGCATTTTTCCTTTTCTTGACTTTGCTCCTGGGTAATGTGTGGGAAGTGATGGCCCCTCAGTAATCCTTTTCCTTTAGAATGAAACTCTATCGGCCGGTGCCGCGGCTCAGTAGGCTAATCCTCCACCTAGCGGCGCCGGCACACGGGGTTCTAGTCCTGGTCGGGGCGCCGGATTCTGTCTCGGTTGCCCCTCTTCCAGGTCAGCTCTCTGCTGTGGCCAGGGAGTGCAGTGGAGGATGGCCCAAGTGCTTGGGCCCTGCACCCCATGGGAGACCAGGAGAAGCACCTGGCTCCTGCCTTCGGATCAGCGTGGTTCGCCGGCTGCAGCTCGCCAGCCGCGGCAGCCATTGGAGGGTGAACCAATGGCAAAGGAAGACCTTTCTCTCTGTTTCTCTCTCACTGTCCACTCTGCCTGTCAAAAAAAAAAAAAAAAAGGATGAAACTCTATCCAGAACCATAGTTTCTGGGAGTTGAGTCCTTGATATCACAATAGATTATTTGTGTGTTATTGGTAGCTGTGTAACTATCTGTGGCTCTAAATTGCTTTCAGCCTGTGCTTCTTGATGTCATTGTTTTCTGTAGAAATTTCCAGGAGCCTTTAAGATAGAGAATGGAGAGAGGTTGTAGGGGTTGAGGGTCAGTCATATATCCAGTGCTTCGAGACCCTCATGCGCACTTCACCTGAAATCAGTATCTGTCATATGTTTGTATATATGTATGTGATACAGGAGTATACATGTGAGTACTTCAAAAAGTTCAATGTGCCAACAAAATCTTGAAATTCATGCGTAGTTTGCTCATCAATGCACATTTTCCATGAGCGTTTCAAAGATGCCTTACATATCCACTCAAGATTTCATTTGAATAGAAAGGCTATGCTGCTGTAGGACATTTTAAGTGTTATCCTTTACAGACAATATATTCTCTCCTTTCCTCATACCATTTAAATTTCTTACATGGAGCAAATAAAACATACTAAAATCCTAACAACTTTAAAACATTATATAAATGTGAATTAACATTTGGAACCTTTTTATTCTTGTTACTAGCATGTCTATTTGTTTAGGCCTCCATTTTCTCTATACACACCCACACCCACACACACACACCAGATATTTGAGGAGCTTAAGCAAGACAATAAATGACCCCCTGTATCACTTGGCTATGGCACCATAACAAAGTGTCACAAGCTGAGAGGCTTAAACAAGAACTTATTCCCTCTAGCTTTGGAGATCAGAAGTCAGAAATCAAAGCATTGTTGGAGCCTTATGAAACCTGTTGGAGATAATGTGTCCCATGCTCCTGTCCTGTCCTGGTTTGCAGTAGTTTGCCAGCAATCTGCAGCATTCTTTGGCTTGTAGATGTATCCCCCTCATCTCTTTCTGTTCCTATGTCATTCTCTATGTTCAGTTATGTGTCCAAATGACTGCATTTTGAAGGGTACCAGTCACATTGGGTTAGGGGCTTGCCTTATTCCATGACCTCATCTAAGTTATGTAAACAGTGACTCCATTTTCAAGCACTGTCACATTCTGAGGTAGTAGGATGGGTACCTCAATGAATGGATTCTGAGGATTCAATGAATGCCAAAATAACATTTGCCTAAACTTAAAGCTTATAAATGTTCTTCAACATGGTATGTTTTATTCTTAGATAATGACATGCATACCTATGTGAACACTGGGAAGTGTGGGTTTTAGTTTAGAACTCTGGGACTTTTTCCAAGATTCATGCTGGAGTGTGGTAGAATGAAAAGGGCTACTCCCAGTCTCACAGCCTCCTGCATGGCCCTGGATTTTTATCCCACTCCTATGTTCCTCCTGTCTGCTAGGTAGCCTTATACACATGCTTGTGAACATGTGATTGTACATTACAACTGCACCCATGTGCCCTGCAAGGAGCCTTCTCCTAGTCACCCATGGGTCTAGATTTTGCTGTTAGTGTTGGTACAGTCTGACTTCAGAGGGACTGATCCAGAAAAGAGGTTGTCTGTGATGGCTATCTGAGAATTTATTTGTGGGTCTTTCGACATCTTTGGCTGAGATTCACAACTGAAGGAGGTGGGACTTTCTCTAGGGAGGGCACCAGGATGAGGGCACCCTTGCCCCTAAGACTCTACTGCCAGTGAACAAAACTATTCTATCATCTTGGGACTTACTGTTCTGTGAAGGGGGGTAAAACATGTACAGCAAACAAAAGGTATATCAAGTGCATAGGGTGCTCAGAAGTGCTAAGTGCATAAGAAACAAAGAGCAGGATGGGAAGGATCTCTGGTGTGTATCTGGGGACAGGGCAGGTTGCGATGTCACCTAGGAAGGTCAGGGTAGCCTCAGTAGGGATGCAGATATTGGGGGAGGACTTGGAAAAGGTCAGAGAGTTAGGCAAGTAGATATATGGGACAAAAGCACATTTTTGGAAGAAGGAGCTGACTGATCAAAGATGTCAAGGATGCAGCATGCCTAGAGTGCTCAGGGGACAGAAAGGAGGGCAGTGTTGCTTGAGTGTCATGAGCATAGAAGGATATAATAAGGGTTAGAATCGGAGCTGACAGGAGGTCATATCACATAGGGCCTTCTAGGTTATTTTAAAGGCTTGGGCTTTTATTCTGAGATTAGAGGCCCCTACAGCGTTTTGAGCAGAAGATGGCAAGTTCATTCCAGTTGCTGTTTTGGGACTGGATTACAAGGGGGCAGGGTAAGCAGAGAAATAAGAAAACTTACTCTGTTATCTGAAGAATATTTCCCTGTAAGCTAAGAGGAAAGGCTGTAAGAAAGCAGGTTGGGGGAGCAGATAAGCAATCTAGTTTTAGAGTTACTAAACTTGAGTTTTCTTAGATATCAAGGAGATAATGAATAGGTAATTGGGCACTCAGCCCTGAATTTGGGAAGGATTCTGGGCTGGAGTTAGAAAACTGGGGATCATCTTGCAGAAGCTACTGAAAAGCTTGAGAAGAGATGAGACCACTAAGGGAGCGAAGATTGATGGAGAGGAGGACCAAGAATGAGCCCTGGGACACTGGAGGTTGTAGACAAGATGCACCTAAAGGGAAGACAGAAGAAAGGGCTGATACCATACAAGGGTGTAGAATAGGATGGTGTGGTAGGCTGGGAGTCAAGAGAAGCAAGTGTATTGAGGAGGATAGAGTTACTGAAGGCGCCAAATACTTTTGATGGCTAATACCAGGTTAGAGCTGAAGACTGACCTTAGGATCTAACTACCTGCAGGTTGGCAGTGACATTTAAGAAAGTAATTCCACAAAAGTGGTGTTTATTCTCAAAAACTTGATTGAAATGGTCCTAAGAGAAACTCGGAGGTGAGAACTTGGCGATGGCAGAGGAGGGAGAAGAAGGGAGGGGGTGTTTTCCATCTGCTGCCTGACTTTCCAAATGCCTGTAAAGACTGGGGCTAGAAGTCAGCAGCCAAGAATTTGATGTAGGTCTCCTATGTGGGTCGCAGGGACCCAAGTACTGTGATCCATCACCTGGAGCATCACCTTGCAGGATGTGCATTAAGAGGAAGCTGGATTGGAAATCCAGGCAAGACTTCAATCCCAGGCACTCTAATAGGGGTGCAGTAACTTAATTATTGGGCCAGATGCCTGCCCTATTACTTGCTCTGATGTAACATAATCCAAACCTGAGTAGAAACTGATTTCTTGTACATAGAATGAAACATTCCTGAGAGCTCTGCCTCATGACACTGCCATCACCTATGCTCTGGTAGTATGAATTGTTCAAACCATAAAAGTTACACAGATGAGCAGACAAAAAATGGCTGAAATCTCTTTAATTTTCATTGAATTAGCAAGGATTTAAATTTGTCTTGCAATGATTTGAATGGTAAGAATTTAAAGTCTTCTATTTCAGTCTCTTAAAGAATATTGCATAGTGACTTCAGTTGCAGCTACTTTACAAGGAGAATTTGTAAGATTATTTATGCTGGTCACTGACTATGAAGGTAGGTTCAGAATAAGGAAACCATCTAATGTGCAAAGATAAGAAGTTTTGATCATAAGAGTATCAGAGTTTGAGATCTTGGAGGTGAGGGATAATGAGTTTAAAATGTGATCATGCCTCTGGGTGAGAAATCCAATGAGAACGAATTGATTGGTGTTGAAGAGGATAAAAATCTGCTCAAAGTCTCTTCTAGCAATTGGGTTTAAGAATTTCTGACATTTATTCTCTGTTTTTCTGATGGAAAATAATGCAGAACTCGAGCTTACCAGTATAAAGGACTGTGAATGTGTATGTATTTACTTAACAGATTTTTAAAATTTACATTAAAGATACAGTTATTATATCATTTGGTAAAACTTGATTGCATTTCTTGAAATACATTAAATATTGCTTTTAACTGTGGATCCACAATTAAGATACAATGCGACATATGTTTAACTTGAAAGCTATATTACAAGTGTATGTCCTTTTATTTTACATAGTAAATCTCACATAATCAGCATTCCAATAAAGGAGAAAAAGTTCTTGGAAAACAATGAAAGCACAGGTAGAGAATAAATTGCAAAAGGCTCATTCTGATTGTTTTCCTTGTGTCCTTAAAATCCTAACCTATCTTTGACAATAAATATGTTGTGTTATATGATAATAGGCCTAGAAATGGAAAAGATTATAAGTGGTTAATGAATAATGCATATGTTCACAGCAATGGTCAAATTATGCTGTTTCCTAGTAGATACCATTTTTCTTCATTGAGTGGGACACTCCCAAGTTGGATGTTAATTGCTCCCACAAATACAGCTTTGCTCTTCACAATCAGCATTAAGACATGTCCTTGGAGCTCTGTTACTTCATCATAAACCACCTGAAAAGAAGAAAATATAAGCCACATCTGTTTCAATGCATCACTCTTCTGAATAGTGCCTTTAATGAAAAGCATTTACCTGCTAATACTTCACACCCTGAAATGGATAGGTTTATGTGAAATCATTCACTTGTAGTGCTAATTCTGAAAGTGAAAGGTTTTACTAACATAATGGGATTTAATGACAGACTATTTCCCTAAGAATCTTAGAATTCACTGATTCTACTACAAATTATGCACCCTTTTATGAAGAATATAAATTACTTAAAAGGAAGAAATTTAAATACTCTTCACCTTTTATCTGTCCTTGAATTTACTGTGCAGCGCTGGAACCTGAGCACTGTAGTTCATTGTTGAAGGCTAATGAGGAAAGAAAGCCCAATTTCTATGCTCCCCTTATGCTTTTTAAATAGTACATTTCTTTGTTCATGTGAAGAAGCCATTCTATGGTTATTTTATCTCTTAAAATACTTTAACTCTTAATTATGAAAATGCATGTTCATTCAATAAAATCTTGGGACCAGAAGATAAGAAAAATCTGAATTTCCACCATTGGGGAATAATTACAGTTAAGACTTTTTTTTTTTTGTTATCTATATATAATCACTTAGCAATGTGACCTGTAATTATGCTGTCTATACAGTTTTTCTTCTTGGAAGGTATGACTGGGTTTTTTATATCTGGAAAAAGTTTCAGGCATTGCCATCAGGGGCCTGTGGTGGTAAAGAGTCTTTGCAAGTACAGCACTGCAAAGAAATGAGTTACCCATCAGGAAAGGCAGGGAGGGCTGAGTGGAAATCTGACATGGTTGCCAGGGAAACGTCTGAGAACACACACAGAAATGGGTTTCACATGCTGCTATAAACTAGCTGGTTTCTTACAGCCAAGTTGTAAGATGGAAATTCTTAATATATGCAAAAGACAAGAGTGCTTTAATAAATTCATGGGCAAATGGAATGAAAAGCTCAGTTTGAGATGAGAGATTGGCACAATGGTGAAGCTGCTTCGGATGCCCGCATCCTATGTCATGATGCGTGGGTTCAAGTACCAGCTCAGCTCCCAGTTCCAGCTCCTGCTGATGTGCACCCCAAGTGGCAGTGGTGCCCCATGTGGCAGGGGCGCATGGCAGATGGAGATGCAGTTTCTGGCTCCTGTCTTCTGCCTTCTACAGCCTTGGGTCCACCCTAGCTGTTAGCATTTGGGGACTGAATCATGAGATGGGAGATCTCTCTCTCTCTCTCTCTCTCCCTCCTTCAAATTAAATGACAACTTTCAGAAACTAAATTTTTTCTAGGGCAAAAAATCTCTGAAATCCATGAGTAGTTCAAAAAGTTCATGGAAGATGAATATCAATGAAGATTCTTGGTGGAGGCAACTCTAGGTTAATGGGGAAATGTACTCAGTGTCTAGATGTGATTTCTGTTCCTTTGGGTACAGCATAGGCCTACCATTTATGAATCCATTAAGTTAGCAATGAAACTCAGTTCAAGTTCAATCTGTAAGCAGCTCTAAACAAAGATTTTCTTATCAAGTAAAGGATAATCCCATCAAGGGATGCACTGTAACATATTAATCTCGTTAACTTGTTCCAGGAGACTGCTCCTAGCTAGCTCTTCTGGAATTGTACTTTGCATCCCAATTAAGAGATTATCCTTTAGTTTTCTAGTAATAGGCATTGAAATGATCTCATTTTATCAATTCAGTTCTCCTGCGACAATAAAGGACTTTAATGACTACCCCCAAAAAACTGCAAAATCCACTACTGCAATTCATGTTATGGAACTAAAACTGGATGTTCAATGCTGCCTGGAAATTTTTCCAGTATTTCAGAGTAAACTCCTCATTTCTCTACTGAGATTATTTTGAACTTTGTGAAATATCCTCAATTCTACTTTCTGCAATACTTTGAGCAGGTGAACTCCCTGTTTTAGAGAGGAAAAGAGGCCCTCAAAGCATTACTGTGTATGAGGCAGAAAAATGAAGTGACTCAAAGCAGTGTGCCTTTGGTATAGTCTGGTTTAAGGACACTGTCAGTATGATAAATAAGCTCTAAAATTTAAAAATTTCTAAAAGACTTCATGTAATTCATAGATAAGTCTTTAGATAACTGTACTTCCTTCTTCAATTCCCTCTCCTTTTTTCTTTTAATTTATTTGACAGGTAGTTATGGACAGTGAGCGAGACAGAGAAAGGTCTGCCTTCCATTGGTTCACCCCCACTAATGGCTGTTACAGCCAGCGCACTGTGCTGATCTGAAGCCAGGAGCCAGGTGCTCCTTCCTGGTCTCCCATGCGGGTGCAGGCGCCCAAGCACTTGGGCCATCCTCCACTGCCCTCCCGGGCCATATCAGAGAGATAGACTAGAAGAGGAGCAGCTGAGACCAGAACCCGGCACCTATATGGGATGCCAGTGCCGCAGGTGGAAGAATAACCAAGTGAGCCACTGCGCCGGCCCCCTTTTTTTCTTTAATTTTCTCAATAACATACTTACATTTTAAGAAACATAGCAATAGTTAATATGTACATGAATCTATCAACTGAGCTTTTTCATTTGCATACATTTAGCATTCTAGGAGAAAGTAATGAGATCATGACTATGAGCTTGAGTATGAAGACAGGTACGTATTACACACTAATAAATTATGGCTGAAGAAGACCCATCAAATACATGGAAAGAGTTGTTTCTTGGAATTTTGCATCACTTGGCTGGCGGGGGTAGGGGAGTGGGGTGTGGTGTGTATGTGTGTGTGTAACAAACCTTCTACACAGAATTGAGTCTCACAGGTATTTAGTAAGCTGAGAACTTTGAAGAAGTGATGTTTGGAATTAACTGCCTTCCTGGTCAAAATACAAATCTTTGAATTCCAAAGTTTGCAATACTTAGGGAGTAGGGGGAAATCCATTGATTACTGTACAAATTATTTTGGTAAAAGTTACTCAAGTTTTAAAATCATGTAATTATTACATGTCATGGATAATCCCTATTCTAGCTTTACTGGATCCACAACTTTGGATGTAATCACTCTTAGTTACTGGGCATTGAATAGTTGGCAAATAATGCTGCAGAAGTACACAGCTGATTTCTATTTGAGACTTGTTCACAAAGTGACTTTATACGTATTCTACCTTCGTATAAACAGAACCAAAGATGAACCACTCATTTAACTTCCATTCATAAAAATGTCTACCCGTAGAAATGAGCCAAGTCATCATTACCTTCTGACAAATACTGAATAAGTGGATCTGGAATGAGCACATTGAATAGGAAAAAGGTTAGTTAGCAACAATTAAACGTACACATAAGCATTCGCTGTACGTTATTTGACACAAGGGTCTAGTAAATAAATCTGAAGTGTGCCTTCATGATTGCGAGGGAATAAAAGATGAAAACATGAGTGCCTAGTGCCGCTAAGAGGAAGTCTCAGGAATATTTTAAACCAGGGAGAACAGAACTCTGTGAGAAGGGATTTCCTGTATCATTGCTTACTATGGTGGGGGTGAACATGGCTTTGGAATTGAGCAGGTCTGGCCTTGAAGTCTAATTGGATGACCTTAAATATGTCATTTTCAAATATAGTCATAGTCATGCATCTCTTGATGATGACTCATTCTGCAAAATGCATCCTAAGGTGATTTCATTGCTGTGTGAAGATTATACAGTGTACTTAAACTAAGCAGTTAGGTATATAACCTTTTTTCTATTTGAGGGGCAGAAGAGGCAAGTAAGGGAGAGGGAGAGAGAAGGGAGTGAGTACATTTCCATTCACTGGTTCACTCCCCCAGATGCCCATGATTGCTGACTGGGCTGAGGGTGAAGTCAAGAGCTAGGAAATCAGCCTGGGTATGCTGTGTGGGACACAACCATCAAGCCGTCACTGCTACCTACCGGTGTCTGCATTAATGGGAAGCTGGGATTGAGTCAGAGCCAGGACTCAGGCCCAAGTAATACAATACAATGGGAACATCAATGTATATGAGATCTATCACTGACACATCATTACGTGGCACAAGACTATGTGACTATCAAATGAGATGACAATAACTATTGCTTGCTGATGATATGATAAGAGGAATACTGAAATGGTTCACTAAAGTGTATGTAATGTGTACTATCTTCTAGCCCCATTGTTCCACAATGGCTTGGAAATATGCTCACACTTAGCTTTGTGCTAGCTAATCAGTGCATGCTATGCAAGAGACAGGAAGGCATGGAGAACTGCTGTCTTCTCATTTTTAGTGCTAAAGTTATACTAGGATAGTGTTTATAGGAAGGCTGCAATGTATAAAATATATTGACTTGAACATAATTCTAATATAGGATGGAATTGCTATATTTCTTTTTAGAATTTTAATTAAATTTCCAAAGTACAGCTTTTGGATTACAGTGGCTTTTTCCCCCCATAACCTCCCTCCCACCCGCAACCCACCCATCTCCCACTCCCTCTCCCATTCCATTCACATCAAGAATCATTTTCAATTCTCTTTATATACAGAAGATCAATTTAGTAAATACTAAGTAAAGATTTCAACAGTTTGCACCCACACAGAAACACAAAGTGTAAAATACTGTTGGTGATTTAATGCTATAACTAGTATCAATGTACAGCACATTAAGGACAGATCCTACATGGGAATTAAGTGCACAGTGACTCCTGTTTTTGACTCAACAAATTGACACTCTTGTTTATGGCATCAGTAATCTCCCTAGGCTCTAGTTATGAGTTGCCAAGGCTATGGAAGCCTTTTGAGTTCGCCAACTTCAATCTTATTCTGACAGGGTCATAGTCAAAGTGGAAGTTCTCTCCTCCCTTCAGAGAAAGGACTTCCTTCTTTGATGGCCCATTCTTTCCACTGGGATCTCACTAGCAGAGGTCTTTCATTTAGTTTTTTTTTTTTTTTTTTTCCCCAGAGTGTCTTGGCTTTCCATGCCTGAAATACTCTCATGGGCTCTTCAGCCATATCCGAATGCCTTAAGGGCTGATTCTGGGGCCAGAGTGCTGT